GAGCTAAGTTTCCCCAAATACTTAGTGAAACCAGGGTAATACGGTGATTGTTTGTGTTTGTTTTTCCTTTGTATGTCTATTACTGCTAGTGCCGTTGTATATTTTATATACTTAGCAATAAATAACTTTTATAGTCAAATTGGTGGCAACTGGGTATATTTTTCCTTCTCTACATCTCCTTTCCCACTTGCTCTGCAGCAACGCTTCTTTTACCTAAGCTAAGGATCCCTGTGAAGCCCAAAAATACCGTGGGGTCTGCTCATCAAGAGGCTAAGACATTGGGACATGCTGAGTTCGAAACACATAAGGGGATTAGCTTGTACAGGCTGATTGACCCAGTTTGGCTCAAACGTGCCCTAATGAACTGAATGCTGGCCCATGAGGATGTAATCTGGACACCCAGCCGGATTCAGAGGTATTCTGTTTAACTGTGTGCTTGTGTCTGACTGTAGTTATTGTTGCTCTGATGAACTGATTCTTGGCATGTGAGGGTGTCAGCCTGTCCATGCTGATCAACCCGGCCAGGTCAGGTATCACATTAATCTGTGTGTGTTTGTGTGTATGACTGATTTGAGGACTGGAGGAACCCAGCCCCACTGAAACTGAGTCCTGCAAGATAGCTCCATTGGGGGTACGGGCTTGCAGAAAGGAGAGATACAGCTCCGTATAGAAACACAAGTAACACAAGCAGCACATTAACAGAATTATCAAGAACCTAACCCTAATAAATGAGCACATCCCAAAGTAGCGGGCAAATCTGGTAACAATTGCTACCATGAGTTTCTTTCTTACTATAGACAAATATGTGAGGAAATATACATATACCCTGTGCACATAAATTATAGCTAATTTTATTGTGAAAACTGTGCGTTAACTGTGTACATGTTGTTATACTATTGTACAACTCAGTTTACCTCCTTGGCCTGCCCACAGAGAAGGAGGGGTTAAGTGCCAGGGACTGCTACATGCAGCACTGGACCACCTTCAGCATCAGCAGTCCTGAATGGCTTTGTTGACATATCTACATATGGCTTGTTGACATATCTATCTTTGTTGGCCATTTGGCCAACATCAAGGAGATGTGACGGGGACCATAAGCATGACAAGAGGGAAAGCAGACTGGAAAAAGCAACCTGGCAGGTCCAGGGGCAAAACAATCTCAGGATGGAGGGAAGTTAAGAAGTTTTAGGGAGCTGGATAGACAGGGAATAGAAAAGCTGAGCATCTCAGCATGGTGGGGATGGAGGTACTGTTTAATAGAGCTGTGTGAAGCTTTGGTAACTGATTTGAAAGAAATTCGATTCAGAGGAGATTTGGTCCAATTCAGTGGCCAAATCTCCAAAACCGAATTGAATCAGGAGACCAATTAAAAGGTCTGAATCGAATCAGAAGCCTCTGAATCAATTCGGAAAAGATTTGGCACCCATTTGGAGATTCGGCCATAGACTAAGCAGGTCCTCACAACGCTGGACACAGCTGCCTCCAGCTGGTAAGTCTGTTATGGTGGGTGAAGCGGAGAGGTAAGGGGAGTAGTTGGGGGGGGGGGAGGCAGATCAACACATCCACATTGAGGAAGGGATTGGGGCTGGAACAAGCTGCCCAGCCGAGGCGGAGGGCTCCCACCACTGTGCACCGCCAGTCCAGGCAGGGATGGGAGCAGGTGTGTGCTCCTGGATCTGCGTGGGGCAGGCTGGGCTGTACTCCAGGAGGCTAGGCCAGCCGCCTGCCGCCGGGCTGTGCTCTCTGGGGTGGGTGGGTGGAGCCAGGGCTGAGCTCTGGGCAGCTAGCCCCAGCCGCAGCACAGACCTGTCTCCACCCGCTCCATGGAGCACAGTGGGCCAGGGGCTATAGTGGGGCTGCAGTAACCCTAAAATTCCCCATAGGCCCTGCCGCTGGCCCTTCCCCGATCACGGTATGTGCCCCTGCCACCATGCCCTACCGCTACTCAACCAGCCAGGGCGAAGCTGCAGCTTGTCCAGGAGGTGCAGGGAGGCTGGGCAAGAGGCAGGAGGGCATAGCCCTCACTCCCAGCACCTTCCGCCGCCTGTCCGGAGCGCAGCCCGGCCCAGCCCGCCCCGTGCAGATCTGGGTGCATGCGCCTGCTGCCATGCCCTGATGCTGCTTGCCCAGCTGGGGCAAAGCAGCAGCTTGTCCCAGAGGTGCAGGGAGGCTGGGTGAGTGGCGGGAGGGCATAGACTCTGTTCCCAGCACTTTCCACCACCCATCCGGAGGGCACCCTGGCCCAGCCCACCCCATGCAGAACCAGGGGCATACGCCCACTCCCATGCCCTCCCGGACCGGCAGAGCACGGTGACATGCAGTGGGGGGAGCCACTCTCCCCGAATCCTGTGGCCCCTCGCCCCAGCTGGGCAGCTTGTCCCAGCCCCAGCTCCAATCCCTCTCTCACTGTGGGGGCATTGATCTAGCCCCCCATGCCCCTTCCCTCCCCCTCTGCCCACCACAACAGACTTATCAGCTGGAGGCAGCTGTGCCCAGTGTGGTGAAGACTACTGCCTGTTTAGTCTATGGCCAAATCTCTGAATCAGCACTGAATCTCTGGATTC